GGATTGGCAGTAGTGGGAATCTGCCAGGGGAGGGGGGCACACCTCATCAACAAGGGTACCCGCATAATGAACATTTGTATACCTAACCCTGAATTGTAACCCACATCTTTAAAATAAAAAAATGAAAAGTTAAAAAAAAAGTTTTGGCTGAGAAACTAGAATGCCAAAAAGGGCTTCTGGGAGTACCATGGCCTTAAGGGTACAACATTAGTGTTCAGAGCCACTAAAGAAGAAGGGCCCAGATAAACACCCCAGGTTTCAAGTTTTATTCATAGAATGACGTGACCATAGTTGTAGTGATGAATCAGAAATAGACCATCTGTCATAAAAACTGAAGCTTGAGTGTGAATCTCCTCAATCACTACAATTTAAATTAAAACAATTTTTTAGAGAAAAGTTCTATGCTGCCTAGACTGGTCTTGAACTCCGAGGCTTAAACAATCTTCTTGCCTTGGTTTCCCAAAGTGCTACAATTACAGACATGAGCCACCATGCACAGCCAGAAGATGGAGAATTTCACCAAATAACTGAAACATGTATATAAGAGTGAGTGTGAATATGTGTGTGTGTTGTATGTATGTGGGAGTGCAAGTGGTTAAAAACGACCATTTAAAAAGCAAAAATATTAACGATGCATTGCAGGGTTTATAACAACATAAACAGAAATAAAATAAGTAGCAACAAGAGAAAAATGGATGGAAAGAATGTCTCAGTCTATTTGTTCTGCTATGACAAAATATCTAAGACTGGGTAATTTATAAAGACTAGAAATTTATTTTCTCACAGTTCTAGAGATTGGGAAATCCAGAATCAAGGTGCTGGCAGTTTGGGTTGTCTGGCAAGGACTACACTCTCTTTCCGAAATGGTGCCTTGATGCTACATTCTCCAGAGGGGAGGAATGCTGTGTCCTCACATAGCAGAAGGCATAAAGACAAGCAAGAGACAAATGTTGTATGCAGCGTCTTTCATAAGGGTCTTAATATCATTGATTCGGGAGAAACTCCCGTGGCCTAATCTTAAAGTCCCCACTCTTAATACTCTCATAATTGGCTATTAAGTCTCAACACCTGAATTTTGGAGGGGATACATGGAAATCATTTCAAAGGATAAATGGAACAGGCTGCTGTAAGGGTCTTACATTGTTTGTGAAGTAATATAATATTTTTCAGATACAGACTGTGCATATCATACTTTTAGAGTAATCACTAAAAAAGAAAGTAGAGCTAAAAAAATTAGAGAACATATAATGGAATGCTAAATAAATATGCAACTAATCCAAAGAAAACCAGAAAGGAGAATTGTAAAAAAATATTGTAAAAGATGAGATAAATAGATGACAAATATCAAGATGGTAGATGTAAATTAAGCACATCAGCGGTTACATTAAATGTAAATGATGTAAACTATAATTAAAGGGTAGAAGTTGTCAGAGTAAATATAAAGACAAGACTCAACAATATTATTTTCATAGAAATACACCTTAAATTAGCAGGCATGGACAAATTGAAGGTAAAATAATTTAAAAGATATATCATGGAAGCACTAAGCATATGAAAATTGATGTGGTTATATCAATATTAAAAAAGGAGTATTGCTGGAGATAAGAGGGTAATAAGGGGGAGCATTTTGTAATAATAAAAAGTAATTCATCAAGAAAATATAAAATATTAAATATGTATACACTTAACTGACAGATTTAAGAGGAGAAACAGACAATTCTATAATCATATATAGATATTTTAATGCCATTCTCTCCATAATTGATAGAGTAAGTATACAAAAGCAATCAATCAAACAAATCAGCAACAACAAAACAAAACAGGAAGGACATAGAAGATGTAAACAACACTATCAAACAACTCAACTTAATTAGTATTTATAGAACACTGTACTCAACAATAGTATAAAACACATTCTTTTTACATAAACATGGGATATTTAAGATAGATAATAGACTAGGTCATAAAACTTACCTCAATACATTTAAATCCATTCAAATAATATAAAGTATGTTCTTTGACCCTAATGGAATTATATTTGAAATTGGTAGCAATTAGATATTTAGAAAATACCCATATTTGGAAGTTAGGCTACATATGCTTAAATAATCCGAGTCAAAGAAGAAATCACATGGAAAAAAAGAAAATAGTTTAAATTGACTGATAATAAAAAACACAGCATGCAAAATTATTAGGATGCAGATAAAGGAAGAGACAAGAACAAGTAGGATATCTGAATACATTATATATGTGCTAAGTAAATTAAATTCATTATCAAGTTCTTTCTCACAAATAAAACTGCAGACTCAAATTACTTCATCAGTGAATTCTACCAAACATTTAAGAAAAAAATAACACCAACTTTGCACAAACACTTTTAGGAAACAAGGAAATAGGGAACATTTCTCAACTTAGTTTATGAGGCCAGCATAAACCTGATTCCAAATCTGATGATTACAAGGAAAGAAAATACGTAAAATGGATAATAACTTACAATCAAGTAGAGTTTACCTCAGATATGCAAGTTAAGCATCCAAAAAATTAACCAATATAATTCGCCACATTAACAAAATAAGAACAAATGATATGATCATCTTAATAGCTACCGAAAAATTGATTTTTTAAAAATCTCAGCATACTAGGAATGAAAGGGAACTTTCTTAATCAGATAAAGGACATCTATGAAAAGTCTACAGATAGCAAGATATTTAAAGGTGGAATGTTGAATTTCTTTCCTCATGAGTGGATTTGGTGGAACTATGGCTACTCTCACCGCTTCTATTCAACTTTGTTCTATAAGTCTTAGTGCAATAAGAAAAGAAGAAATAAAAGGTATTTGATAAGAAAGTAAAACTGTTGTTACTCACAGATGAGTGACTGTATAACTGTGCAACCCTAGTACTTATAAGTGAATTTGTCAAGGTCACATAATCAAAGTCAATATATAAAACTGAATTTCTATATACTAGTAAGGAACAATGGGAAAATAAAATAATAAAATGTATAATATCAAATATGGGAATTAATCTAATAAAAAATACGCAAGATCTCTGCATAGAAAACTACAAAACATGGCTGAGAGAAATTAGGTAAAGACATGGAGAGATATACCATATCCATGAATAGAAAATTCAGTAGAGTTAAGATGTCCAATCTCCTAAAGTTGATCTAGAAATTCAACACAATCTTAATCAAAGTCTTTGCAGACCTTTTTTTTTTTCTTTTTGAGCTGGGAAGTAGAATTGAAATTGACAAGCTGATTCTAAAATGTCTATGGATATGCAAAGGATGTAAAACAGCCAAAACAAATTTGAAAAAGAAGAGTGAGGTAGAGTACTCACACTACTCAATTTCAAGACTTACTAAAAGCTACTATAATCAAGACAGTGTGGTTTTGGTGAAAGAACGAATGAATAGATTGATTTACACAGATCAGCAAGACCCGCATATATGATCAATTTATTTTCAACCAGTTGCCAAGGTAGTTCAAGGATGAAAGGAGAACCTTTTTAAAAAATTATGCTAAGACAAATGAATATTAATATGAAAAGTAATAGATCTTAGTTCTTCCATCATACCATACATCTATGGTTCTCACACTTTACTGTGCATCAGAATCACCTGGAGGGCTAATTAAAGTTCAAATTTCTGGGTCCCACCCATAGAGTTTCTGACTCAGTGAGTCTTATGTGAGGCATGAAAATTCACATTTTTAATAAGTCCCCAAGTGATGCTTATAGCTGCTACTCTGGTAAGCACACTTGGAGAACCCCACTATACACAAAAATTAACTTGAAATGGATCACAGACCTCAATGTGAAAGCCAGATGCAAATATAAGAGGATATATTCTTGTCCTTGGACTGGGCAAAAATTTATCAGACAGGACCTAGAAAACACTTATCATAAAATGTAAAAAGAAATTGGTAAATTGGATTTTGCCAAAGTTAAAAAGTTACATCCATCAAAAATATCATTGAGAAAATGTATAGGCAAGCCACAAACTTGGGGAAAGCATTCATAGTACATCTATCTGACAAAGTACTTGTTTCCATGATAATATGAAGAACTCCCAAATATCCATAATCAAAATACAAAAACCCAATTTAAAAAATGGGAAAAAGACTTGAACAGACAATTGATAAAATAAAGCAAATAAATATTCAATAAGCACATGGAAATGTGTTCAACATATTTAGTTATCAGGGAAATGCAAATGAAAACCTCAGTGACATATAACTTTACACACATAGAATAGCTAAAAAAAAATTAAAAACAACACCAAATGTCGACAAGACCAAGGATCAACTAGAACTCTCCTAGATTGCTGGCAGTATAGAAAAATGATTTATCCACTTTGGAAAACTGCTTGGTGGTTTCTTTTAAAGAAGTTCAAAATACACCTGCACAATGAGTCCACAATTTTGCTCCTGTATATTTACTCATAACATAAAAATATATGTACACGACTTGTACAGTAAGTTTCATAGCAGTCTTGTCCATCATAGTCCCAAACTCAAATATCCAACAACAGGCAGATAAGCAACCAGATGTGGTTTATTCATACCAGGGAATATAACTTCAAATAAATAAATAAATAAATAAAAGAGCTATGGATACACTTAACAATGTGGATGAATCTCAAAGACATTATGTTGAGAGAGAGAAGCTGGACACAAAAGAGTCCATACTGCATGACTCCATTTACAAGAAGCTCTAAAACAGGTGCAACCAATTTGGTGGTACACATTGGAACAGAGGTTGCCTGGGTGGGAGGCCAGGGGTGTTCAGGCAATGACTAGAGCGACACATGGGAACCTGCTGGGCTAACAAAAATGTTCTACATCTTGATCACAGTGATGGCCACACAGGTGCATATGATGTCCAAAACTCATTGGCACTGTACATTGACTTATTGAATGTCAATTATACTTCAATAAAAAAAGGAAAAAGATTTTTTAAAAAAGGGGGGGGATGAGATAGAATCTGAAAATGGGAAGAAGGTTGTGCAGTCCTGAATTTGACAGGGGCTATAGTATCTGAATGCCACAGGGGCTTGAGACTCAGCAGGGACAGATCAACAAGGTAGGATTGGAAAAAAACACGCAAACTGCTTCAGTTTCATTCTTCATTGAGTCAAGACTCCTTGGCAAAAGATAGAGGAATTGGGAATGAATGCATGAATGTATGAATGAATGAGTGGTTGGAGAATTCAACTGGATATAAACCAGGGAGAAACAAGACAAAGGAGGAAAGAGCAAAGCCCCTTAAGGGCCAATTTTGCAGAAATTTCTGAACCTGAGGCCTGGGACCCCCTGCCTGGGACAGAATGGATGTGGAGGACAGGCCAGAGGCAAATCTTTGCAAATGCCTCCCTTTGCTCCCACCCCCAACCTCCACATCAGGTCAGTGAGTATGACAGAAAGTGTTGGTGTTGGCATCCCAAGCCCGTATGACTTCCAAAGGCACCAAGAGTCTCTGTGGGACCTGTAAACAGGCAGCAGCCTTGCTGCGTGGATGCTCTCACCTGGCCCATCTGCTTCAGGAGCTGGGCCCTCTCGTGCCCAAGCAGGGCTGCCTGCTCCTCCAGTTGCTCCTGCCGCTGCTCCAGGCGCCCGCAGGCCTGCTGCAGGCCTCGGTGCTCTGCCTTTCCGCGTGCCAGCTGCTGCTTTGCCCGTGCCATCTGCTCCTCGGCGTCTGTCCGCTCCTGCTCCAGAGCCTTCCGCTGCTCCCGCAGCTGGTCCCGCTCCTGCTCCAGCTGCCACCAGGGGGACAGAAGGGCTCTGCACCCAGCCTGTGCTCCCTTGGCCTGCCCCAGTGGGCCTTGCCTTCCTTTCCTCAGGCCTGGCCAGGGCTGGACAGGCTCCCTCATCCTTCCCCCTAAACCTGCCAAGGAGGATGGGCCTCAGTCCAGGAATGGAAAAGATCTGCAGAGAGTAGATGGAAGGAGGGGCCTGGGGCTGGGAGACCAAGCACTGGACAGAGTTTCATTGCAACCCTAGGAGAAACAGGCTCAGGGTGAGGGTTGCCCACCTGCCCCTCACCTCACCTGGAGAACCAGGCGGTTCAGGGTGCCCTTGTCCTGAGCCATCCCTTCCATGAGGGCAGCCATCGTGGCCAGGGAGTCCCTTTGCTCCACTCCCTCTGATTTCAGCCTCCTCATGAGCAGCTCCAGGTCAGCGTTGCTGGACTCGGCCTGGGGCAGGGAGGGGGATGCCAGGGAGGGACCTTCAGGTTCCCAGGAAGAGGTGTTGGTGCCGGAAAAGAAATGAGCCCCGTGTTGTGGAAGTGTGCAAGTTGAAGATGAGATGTGACACATGGAAGTGTTCTCACAGTGGGAAGGCCTTGGGGCCAATGGTCCCTGAGTATTGAGGCTCCAGCCAGAAGAGGTGGCCAGTGGCCCAGGGAGAGGCTACGAAGAGGTAGACATGGCCAGCAGAGAGCAACTGGGGACCAGTGCTCGTTGGTTGGGAAAGTCTGTTGGGGATTTTGGAAGCTCTGGCAATGGACTGAGGGCCCAGGTGTGCATGCGACAGGGAGGTGGGAGGCAAGGCCAGTGAGGCCAGGATGGGCTGGGGCAGACAAGGACAGAGGGGTGAAGTGTACCCGGGCCAGGGCGCTGCGCAGGCCCTCCCGCTCGCTCTCCACAACTTCCCTCTGCAGCTGTACCGCGTTCAGAGCCTCCCGGGCTGACGCCAGCTCCTTCCTGAGCGTCGAGACCTTCTCCTCCAGCTGCTGCAGGCGCCCTTGACTGAGCTCCGAGACCAGAGGGCAGAGTCATGAGGTTGTCTCAGAGTGAGTGGGGGTCCTCCCACAGGAGGGGCCCCCCACAACTCTCTCCAAGCTCAGGGAGCCCCCCAAAGGAACATGAGGTACTCTTGAGAGACAATAAATCAAGGAGTCCTTCATTTCTGGGCTGGAGAGTGGGTGATGTTCTTAGTCAACACACCTGACTGAGGTATGTGTTCATGTGTGTGTACATGTGCACACAGGCTGGGGGGGACACCCACCTCTGCTGGATCCACAGGGTGATGGGCTTGCACAGGGCAGGGTGTTGGGCCCGATGTTGGCATGGGAGTCTGGGTCGAGGAGGGATGTTCAGCCTGGGGGGGGATCCTGGAGACTCCCTTACACCCTGCCTCACTGGGGACACCCTGACTTTCTGAGATGACACTGGTGGGGAAACAGGCCTGTTTCATGGATGAAGACACTGAGGCCCAGAGAGGTGGCTTGCCAGTAGCAGAGCCCCATCTCTCCTGTGGGAAGAATCCTGTGCATATCACCCTCTGAGGACCCACCTGGTCTCCAACGCTCTGCAGCTCCGTTCCTCCTGCAGTGCCAGCTGTTCCTTCTGCTCCGCCCGCAGCAAGAGGCTCCTCCGTAGCTCTGAGGTCTCGGCCTCCAGCCTCTGATTCTCTGCGTCTGCAATGTCTATCTTCCCTTTCAGTTCCTCCACCACTGCTTCCAGAGCTGCCTTCTCCCTGAGAGGTGGGGGGCAGAGGTTAGAGCCACTCCAGAACACACATCAGAGAAGGAGGAGCACAAGGGTAGCCCCGGACACATGCATGCAGGTCTCGGTTGTGTGCCTAGGAGGGTTGATTGGGTGGATGCTGGCCCCAGGGGCCACTATGGGCAGAGGGAGCCCCCAAAGCGCACAGGGTCTTGCTGACTCGCACATCCTAGCATGCTCAGCTCTCTTCCACCCTGGGTCATGTTCAGGGAATCCTTGCAAAAATCTTCTGGAAGGAAAGGACACACATTCCCCACCCACCCCCCTTTCCTGGTATTCCTACCCAGCTCCAGATCTGCTTGTCCTACTGTAGCCCAGGACCCCTGACATCTCACATACCCTATGCAAAGCTGTTCTCAAGTCCCCATCAGCACGTCATCCACCAGCAGAAATCTGGATCTCAGGGCTCCCCTTCCCACCCTGGCCCCCGGAGCATCCCAGTCCTGAGGTCCCCCATTTCCCAAGTACCCCTTGGATCTAGCCCCTCTACCCTCAAGTTGTGGGTCACTCAGATCTGTCCACCTCCTAAGGTCACCTCCATTGTGCTCTTGCCTACAGCAGCTTCCTATGGCCCCACTGCCTTCTGCTCTCAGCGGAGTAGGCCTCTCTCAGTCCCTCTGTCTTTTCCTCTTCCCTACCTCATCCTTCCCTGGCCCTCCCTGGCAGCTAGGTGTGTGCCTGCCTCACAGCTCACACCGGAACTCCAGGTCTCAACTGCACACAGTGCTGTTCCATGCTCCCTGCTTACTCCTGGTTCTCTGCTGGGGAGGTACTTCCTGCCTCTCCAGGCTTCTGGTCTGAAGGATCCCCTTCTGGTCCTGCCCTTTGCTTGTATTCTCATGCCCTTGCTCGAGGCTGACCTGATCCGTATGCCCATGCCTGCCTCTCCCTGTGCCTCTGGTGGCGGGGAATGGGATTGGACTGATTCAGATTGTAGCTCCTGCCCCAACATCCAGCCCACTCTCAGGAAACTCAGAGTAGGTGTAGCTGGGAAGGGCACGTGGTCCTCCTCCCCAGCATGAGGGAAAGTGAGCAGGCAGTGGGGTGGTGGGTGGTTGTCTCTGTTCCCAGTGGAGTGGGCCACCTCATCTCTCTCTCTCTGCCACCTGCAGGAAGCCTTCCTGACCTGCAGGCCCACCCTGGGTCATACTCTTCCCTTCTTAAAGCAGCGTGTGAATTGGGAAGCCCTACTGAGCCTGTCACGCACTTGTGTAGGCCCTGGGGGATCCATACCACACACCGCTCTCTCCCACCAACCCCAGGGCAGTAAGATGTGCATGGAAGCATCCAGAGAGTCTCATGGCCAACTATCCCAGAACTACCTGATCTGCCAGACATGACAGCAGATGGGGCTTTATGGATAAGTTTTGAAGGATGAGGTAGGGAAGAGGGAAAGACAGAGGGACCGACAGAGGGAGTCCTGGGGCTAGGTGGGAGGTAGGAGACAGCACAGCTCCAGGCTAGAGGGCTGGGTTGTGTTGGCAACTTTGGATGCAGCAAAAGGTATGTACTCAGCTTTGGGAAGGGGATTCCAGGGTGAATTCTGCCCAAATAGACCCAGATGAGGAAAGCCAGCATGCCCTCAGTACATTGGGGGTGAGGGGTGAGGCAGGTGGCCTGGACAAGAGCAGTCTTTGTATGGGAGATGCAGCCCCTCCCCTCTTCTGCTGGAAGGTCTCATGGAGGGAGAGGACCAGGTTGGGACTGTCCTGGCCCCACACTGCCCTGTTCCTGCCCAGCCCCTTTCTGCCCCTGTCACCTTCCCAGGAGCTTGCAGGACTCCTGGCAGTGCTGTGCCTCAAGCCTCTGGGCCTCCAGCTGGCCCCGAAGGACCTCTCGCTCCCGCAAGAGCCTCTGTGAGACCCGCAGTTCCCGCCGGGACTCAGACAGCTGCTCCCTGAGTGCGGCCGCCACTGCCTGGGAGGACTCCAGCTGCAGGCTCAGCTTCTGCGAGGTGGGAACATGGGGTGAGCCTCTTTGGCCCAGGCAAGTCTCTGTTCAGAGGCCTGCTAGGGCTCCCAACTCCCCCAGAAAGGACCCTAATAAAACCAGATCCTCCTCCCTAGGGCTGTAGAGCTCAGAGGCAGACCGCATAATGGCACCTCAGCCTGGGGTTTCACACCTCTGCCACTGGGGAGACAGGGTGCCCCGAGGGCTGCAGCTGCCTACCTGCTCCTGCTGCCGCCGCCTCTCAATGGCTGCCTGTACTGCCTGCAGTGTGGGGTCTGGGGTGGCTGGGGAGTGGGCCCGTGGTGGGGACAGTGCCCAATGGGGGAACATGGTTCGCGGGGGGCTCCCTAGTCGGTGCTGTGGTTCCTCGCCTTCAGTATTGCCCCATGCCAGCTCTGGGCACCTGGTGTCTTCTTGGGCCACCTTCAGGGTACAGAAAGGAAGGGACGAAGCGGAAGAGACCGCAGGACCATGATTCAGTGAGGACCATTCAGATAATCCCCAGAATCCCTGTAGGTCACCTGTGCCTTCACCACTGGGTGGACAGAAGACCAGCCGCACCTTTGCGATGCTTGCCAACACGTGCTGCAGGGATGCAACTTCATCCCTCAAGCTGTCCACTACCTCCTGGCTTCCACTGTTCTGGGATTCCTGTGGCCGGGGAGATGCCTTAGTAAGATGGACGGACACCTCAGTACTGTGCAGCCATCCCCCTTCCCAGCCCCACGAACCAGTTTCTGAACATCCATTCTGAGGGACATGATGGTTCTCTCTTTCTTCTCTTTTTGCTCTGTGAGCTTCTCCACCAGCAGCGATTGCTCTGAGAGTCTGTAAATAGGTGGGCAGTGTGTGTGTGTGGGAGGGGATGAGGGGGTTGGAAGGGGGAGAAGGATGGGTAGGAAGGGCAGAAAGCAGAGTCTGTCACATGAGGATCCTGAGAATGCCCTGGCTCTGTCCAGACTCTTCTAGTGGTGTGACTTCCCTGCTGGTGTTTACCTCTCCGCCCTGGGTCTACACTGTGGTCTGAGTGGGCCTCAGTCCCCTGTCTGATCATAGATCTCCCCCTGCTATAGAACCTTCAATGGCCCCTGCTGTCTCAGGAGTAAAATGGAAAATGTGAGTTCAGCATTCAAGGCCCACACCCTGACCCAGTTCTCTAGCCTCATGTCCAGTGGCTGCTTGAGGCTCTGTCCCTGTCCTTGTGCCACAGCAGATGGGTACTCGGTGCTGTGGCAGGCTGTCCAGCACTCTCTGGACCCCATATCATGCTCCTTTGGGAGTGTGCTTGACTCAGTTGACTCCCAGAGGGTAGGAAGGGATTATGCCTGTCAGCCTGGCAGGGAATTTGTGGCCAAGTGAGCCCTAGACATCTGGATTCTGTGAAATTGTCCCTGTGGCCAGAAGGTTAGGCTTTAATTGGGAGCTGCCTCCCCATTATGTATTGAAGCTTCTGAGCCCCAGTGTGGATTGTGTGCCCAGAACCTTCCATGCTTACTGTGAGGCTCATAGACCCCCACATGGGACGCTGGTGTTGTGGCACCAGGCAGGAGCGGGTCTGGCCCTTCTGCTTGTCTCAGCCTCTTAAACGATTTACCTAAGACAAACTTTCACCCCTGGAAAAATGTTCCTGTTGTTAGACCTGAAAATTCCACTTCTGGGAACCAACTTGAGGAAATGCTCCAAATATGTTCCCCGCTGTCTTCCCTGCATCTTTTTTTTTTTTTTTTTGAGTTGGAGTCTCACTCTGTCGCCCAGACTGGAGTGCAGTGGCTGCTCCCGGCCACCGCAGCCTCGACCTATGGGCTCCAGCGATCCTTCCGCCTCAGCCTTCTGAGTAGCCGGAATTACAGGCGCGTGCTACCACGCCCGGCTAATTTTTTGATTTATTGTAGAGATGAGGTCTTGCCTGCCCAGGCAGGTCTCGAACCCGTGGGCTCAGGCAATCCACTCACCTCAGCCTCCCAAAGGCACGGGATTACAGGCTGAGCCACCGAGCTGTGTCTTTAAGGGAAGGAGACCCCAATATTTGCTTCTGGGAGATTCAGGCCACCATCTTACAGACTGTCTTGCAGCCACTGGGGTGTTGACTATGAACTGTGTGCACCATGGACGAACCACTCTGGTGTCAGAATGCTGGGCAGACATCAGGACCCCACACTGCACATGAGTGATGTGACTAAACCTTGGAAACTGCAGCTACTTGGCAACTGGAAGGGGATGCTAGGGTGCCCCTGCCCCACCTCCTTACCCTCTCCATGAGAGCCTACAGGCCCCAGGTACCCACCTGGCCTGGAGAGTCACCTTCTCTGCATCCCAGCAGCCCTGCAGCTGCAGCATCTCCGCCACCTTGTCCCGCAGCTGCTGCCCCAGGGTGCTGGCCGTGCTGCCAACCGACAGCCGCAGGTTGGAGTCGAGATTCAGGCAGGCTGTGTGCAGGCGCCGGGCTGTCCTGGCCACATCTGCCTGCATGTCAGTGAGACCCCTAGGAGACAAGGAGACAAAGACCCATCTGCAGGCTCCAGCTGAGAGAGGTGGGCCCCCTCCTCAGCTGCCCTGAAGAGAAGCCCCCACTACGTGGCACTGATTGTCCCACGTGTCACCAAACACCAGGTAGGCAGCCCGGGATGGGTGAGCAGGGGTTGTCTAGCCTGGCCATTTCAGGTTTCAGTGGCCTTCATCAAGAAATCATGTGTAAGCAGAGGTGCTATGTATCTCAAGGGTTGTTGGGATGACTCCAGGACATATCTGTGTAGTGTCCAGCAAGGACTAGATGGACCCCAGAAGCTCCACCCAGGTAGATGTCCTCAACTGCCACAGTGTCCTTATAACTGCTCTGTCCTCCTCTAATCTATCCCAGCTAACCCTTGCCTGCTTCATCTGCCTGTTTGTCCCTCTCCCACTGCCCACCGCAGGCCACCTTCACCACCACTCCCATTGGCCAGGCAGGGTTGGGTGAGGGGTCCATAAGCCAGAGCTGCTGCACCTGTGGGAAGTGCCCCTTCTTCTCTCTGGATGGGACCTTGGTTCCTGGCAGCATGGTTCCTGGCCCCAGGTGGGCAACAGGCACCCACCTCTCAGTGGTTGCACGAAGCTCAGCCAGGTGTCTCTGGAGTGTCACAGCCTGTCTCCACAGGAGGAGGAGATCCTGGGGCTCCCTTGGGCTCATTGGCTGGGTTTGAAAGCAAGAAAATGTCTACTTCAGACCAAGGCCCATTCACCCTCCCCAAACCCACTTTTTTCTAGATGCCATGTTGGGCCGGCTCTATGGGGGCTGGGAATAGACCCAGCATCACCTACCAGGTCCTAAAGATCCCATGTCCCAAAGTCAAATGAGTCCTGGGCTCCTCCATCCCCACCCAAGATATAGAAGAGGACCTGGGGCAGCCCATGTGAATGGTGGTGGACAGGGTGGGGTTTATGGTCCCATAAAGAGGAAGGGTGCTGACTCAGTCTCATCTCCCAGGAACTACTTAGGACTAGAACACCCAGAATCATAACTTGCTCCCCTGTGGGTTGTGGGATACTTAAATAGCACTCAGTTTCTCTGTTCGGAGGGAGGAGGACAGGCTTTTGTCTTTCTCTAATAGGGAGAACGGTTCTTATCTAGAGGGCTCTCTAAGATGCCCAGATGTGGGCCTGGCACTTTCAAGATGCTGGGAGACAGAGCAAGCAGGGGTGGGTAGGACTGTGTGTGTTCCAGTCCTGCAGGGACCTAAGCTGAAGCCCAGAAGGCTCTTGGAGTCTCCATACCACCTTCTCAGTCTCCGCACTTGCTATCTGCCTGTGTGCTGCCCTCTGGAACCCTGGAGGGGTCACCAACACCCAGTGTTTCCCCGAGTTCGCATCGCCTTTCCATACCTTTATAGCCCACTCCATACTTTCCAATGCTGCCCTCAAATAGAGTGCACTCACATCCCTCCTGGTCTCCAAGACCACCAACAACCTTACTTCATGAGGCCTTTCCTGACACCCTCACCTGCTCCTACATCTGAGGTCACCCCCCAACATTGAGCCCAATAACACCTTGCTTTTTATTTTCTGTAGGTCATGCCATTTGATGCCTGGTATACAGAGATGGATACTGGCTTTAGCCACACCACTTCCACCCTCTGAATGGTCATCAAAAGAACAGGATGAGATACTTCCTGGAACCATGGAGAAGCAGATGCTTGGAGCAACCTGCATCATAAATACATTAGATTTCAAACTTCACAACTTCTTGAATGCAAGGTCAGCCTGGCCAAAACAGAATACTCAGGCCAGGAACTGTTGAAGTCAGGGAACCCTGAAGAATGTAGACAATTTCTTGCCAAATCTTGCAATGCTAACATCTGTTTCCTTAACCAAAGGGGCACAGAGGATGGATAACAAAGTCTATGACACTCCCAAAGTGGGGAATCTACTCACACGTAAAGGAGATACCCCCCAAACGACACTCTTGGTATGGTGTGCTACAGGTGAGTCGATCAGAATACCCCCCTCAACACATACACACTTGCCCCTGCAGGAGACTTCACCGCCTGTCTAGGGTTAGAATTGGACAGAGGAAAAAAGTCTTCCCTGTGGATTTAGAACCACATTTGGACTTCACACTGTTTACAGCCTGAATTCATACAACTTGCTGGTCTCGAAAAAAGTCAAGCTGAAAATTTACTTCAATGTGGCCCCAATGATTATTAGAGCCCTAAGCACCCATCAGAAGCAAATAAAAATCCTTTCTGGAAAATACCACATTCACCCCAGGTTTCCAAAAATTTTCACAAAGTTCCAAGGAAAATAAGCAGTTCTCAATTAAAAATTTTTTTTTTTTTTTAAATCACCAAAGAAACAAGGAAACAAAGTACCATGATCTGGAGCCAGCAGAAACAATAGACTTAGACTTAGGAAAATGTCAGATATTAGAACATCAGGTACAGGTGACAAAAGGACTATTTTGACATGCAGCAAAACAAAGAGACGAGAGGCTTGAAAATATGAGCCAAGAGTAAGATATCTAGAAAAGAATCATATAGATTCTTAAAGATAAAAAATGCAATATTTGGAATTTAAACCAAGTAGGCAGATTTAATACAAGTTAGACACCAGAAGAGAAAATTGATGAACAGGAAGGTATATCTGAAGATGTTATTTAGAATACAGTCCAGGGTGATAAAAAAAGAACAAGACTGAATGTGTACATGCATGGGAGATAGCATAAGAAAGGCTAGCATACCTCTAGCTGGATCTAAAAGGAGGAGAGAGGGGTGAAGAGCACAGGTGCTAATTAAAGATTATTTACTTTCCAAAAATAATGAAAGACACGGAGGTTGTGTGAACCCTAAGCAGGATAAGCAAAGAAATCTACACATAGACACATCATGGAAAAATTGCAGAACACCAGAGTCGAAGTGGAAATCTTAAAAGCAGCTGGAGTGAGAAGACAAATTACCTTTATAAGGAATCAGTCAGAATCAAAGCAGATGGGAAGCTGACTTCCCAACAGCAACAATGGAAGCCAGAAGACAGAGAAAGGATATCTCTAAAGTGCCAACAGTAAACAACTGTCAAACACTGAGAATATTTTTCAAGGACAAGGGGAAAATAAAGACCCTTGATAAACAAATGTCAGATTGAACTCAGGGGACTCTTTCTTTCTTTCTTGGGTGTTTGTTTTCACATAGCAGAAACTGCTCCTGTGGTTACCATGACACACCCAGCAATCTGAACGCAAGGACCAAGCAACGAAGGGTATGTGATCTGTCTCAAATATCCCATTCCAGAAGGCCTGCCATTCGAGATCACCCCATAATGATAAATACGGCTCTTCACGATACTCTATAAAGGCAGACCTTCCTCTCTTATGCTTTAGTTGGCTTGTCTGACACCCTCCTTTCCCCCTGCAGGGGGTGGTGGTGGCGGTGGAGGGGTGGTCCGCAGCAGCTGCTGACAGGAATGACAACTGCACAGGACTTGGGGTGGTGGAACCTGACTCCCTGTGGGAAGTGCGGTAATGGCCCCTTTGAGGTGGGCTTGTCTGAGGGATATGTGTGGAGCGGGGCAGGGGAGCGGGCCCAGGCTCACAGCACATTTTCCAGGTGGCTTCAGGGGAGAAATCTTGCCAATGGCGTATGTAGCATACACAGGACTGTGCATTTGATGGAGGGCTATCAAAAACCTCCTCAGCCCCTTGGCCTCCTCACTGGGGAGCCACATTGCCCAAGACCACACTGCTTTCAGGGGTTCCCACAGTCAATGACAGATGGGAGCAGGGGCATAGACACCTGGATATCTCCCTCCCATAGGGACTAATGACTGGCGCCCTGTGCCATGACCCTCTGAACGACTCAGGGTTTCAAAAGTTGAAGAGAGGGAAGCTTCGGGGGGCCTGGAGACCCTTAGCCAAGAACTACGAGCTGCTGTGTGGATCCAGGGTCCTTTCAGGGACCCTTCTCCTGCAGTCTGGTCAGGAACGGGGCCTACAGAGACCACCTGCCTCTCAACAACAGGGTGGTCCACACCAGAGCCAGGATCTGGCTCCAGAGCCTCACTCTCGGGTTCCTGCCCTTCTTCTCTCAAGAGGGGAGGATACTTGGATGTCCCTCACTTTACGGACTGCTATGGCCAAGCCAAGTGGGGGATGTGGTACGGCAGGAGGCCATGGCCTCCCTCATCTCAAGAGGGCTGACTGCTAATGCCAGAGCACCCTCTTCTTGTCCCTGCTACCCAGCACAGGCACCCAAGCAGGCAGCTGCCACAGGGTGGGCAAGATTTGGGGGAGCACCTCTCTCTCAGCTCGGTGCCTCAGCTCCAGCTGGCTCCGCAGGCGTAGCACACTGCCTGTCGTCCTGGCCAGCTCCTGGGCCAGTGAGTCATTGGCCTTCTTCATGTGCTCCAGCTGTTCCCGCAGAAGGGTGTTCACCTGAGAGAGGCCAGTGCTCCTGGACAGACAGAACCATAGTGGAATGGCAGTGGGAGGGTAGCTTCTTTATTGAGAGGTGCTCAGAGCCCCAGTCCCCAAATCAAGGGGATCAAATAGAGCCCGGAACCCCCTGGGCCCAACTGACCCCAGCTCACATGCACAGCCCTGTCCTGCCCCCACAATAGCCCCCCAAACAGAGAACCAGCATTAGGGTGGCTCTCCCAGGTCCATTCCAGTGCCCTCCACCACCACCTCCATCTTTTCCTTTCCTGGCTCTGCCCCTGTAAATTTGGTCAGCTCTCCAATGCCTGAGATAAGCAAGAGTACCAGTCAAGATATGGGAGGGTGGGGTACTGTTGGGGCCTGGGTTAGTACTGGGGGGCTGGGTTAGTGTTGGGAACACATTAATGCTGCAGGGAGGTTATTGTTAGGGGTTGGGCTAGTGTTGGGGGCCAAGTTAATGTTGAGGGCTGGGTTTGGGCAGGAGGCCAGGTTAGTGTTGGGGGACTGGGGTAGTGCTGGGAACCAGCTTGGTATTGGGGGTCTGAGTTGGTTTTGGAGTGCTAATTTAGTGTTGAGGGTCTAGTGTAACAAAGGAGACCCTGGCTATGAAATAATAAACATTCAAGGCCAAATGAGCTGTGGAGTCAGGTCCAGGGTGTGAAAAATGGGAGAAAGGGCACCCCAGGGTTGGTCTTACCATGTAGTGGCCATGGTCAACTCAAGTCCACCCTGCCTACAGTAATGGCCTGAGTACCAGCCTCAGTGGTGCCAGGGTCCTATGGGTGGCAATTCAGGAGAATGGGGCAGGGAGGCCCCAGGACAATGTCTGTTCTGAGTAGGGTTTCCCACAGGTACAAACTTTCACTTTCCTGGGCGGATGGTGGTGGGGGTGGGGTGGAAGACCCTGAGTCAGCCCAGGCATGACATCGTCATAGACATTCTAGGGTATGAGAGTATACAGTGAGGAAGTGTTGGGTGGAGTGATCCACACACTGAATGCTGGGTCTGATGCCAAGGTCCTAATGTCAGTGCTCACTGACTGGAGGTGGGGATCTTCTCTTTCTGACTTTCTCTTCTTCTTGCATTCATGAGTGATGCTGACAGGTGGCAGGGAAGATGCTAGGGTGTGTGGCAAGACTCATATCTGGGGAAGGCTGGGCCTGAGCTCCCTTCCTACTGGTAGGGTGGTGCCTGGTTGGGAATAGGGGGAGCACCTGTGCCAGCAATAACCCTTACATGGCTCAGAGCCCGGGAGATCAATCATTTCCTTACTTTTCCACTCGGCCCTAGCCCCGAGATATGGAAAACCTGGATTCCCCCCACAGTAAGAGAGAGAACAGGGTGGGACTTAGCTCTGCTTGTGGCCTCCATGAGTTGGTCCTGTTCCCAGACTCTGCTTCCCAGGTGCCTTCCCTGCCCATTGAGGCCTGTGGCCAACTCTCAACAGGCAGATGTAACTTAGAGTCCCTTTGGAAAGAACTGGCCAATGACCCCAAGGCACGGTGGGGTGCACTGCCTCTCCAGGCAATGGCTGCACTTCCTGCAGCCCTGACTCTCCTCCACTTATTCTCTCTCACCTCTGTTCTGCGGCCTCCAGACGGCTGAGGGCCTCCTCCAAGTCCACACTGTGCTCCAGCTCTGACCTCCGCAGCCGAGCCTCGGTAGTCTCCAGTCGGGCCTGCAGCTGGAGAAGAGTGTTAGCCCACCTAGTCTGGCTGCTCCTGACCTGCCCAGCAGGGACAGGGGCATTTTGAGCACAAAGCCCACCCCAGAGCAGAAGAGAGGGCTCCCCAGGGCTCCACAGCAGTGATGGGGTTTGGTCTGGTGAGGCTTAGCCCTTCCACTCAGTGGCCACATAGGTGACCATTCACACCCTGCCCTTATGCCAGGTGTCCATGGCTCACAGAGGAGAGGAAAGGCAAGGAGGCATGCTGGTCTGAGCTGATGCACTGACTCCATCAGGACCTGGGGACAGCATGCACGCAGAGGCCCAGTGGGAGGAGGGTTCTGGGAACCGCTAGATGGGTAGACTGAGGCCCTGCTGCTGCCATAGCTGCCTGGACTGGCCAGCTGTCAGAGCAGAAGAGGAGCCCTCAGGACTCAGTTCAGTCACACAAGGGGCAGGATGCAGAGCTGTAGCGCAATCTCTGGGGTCACTCCCCTCCAGGAGTGAGTGAGTGTAGGGTCTCTCCAGTCTGGGCCTCCTGTCTGTGCTTGCACCTCCACTCCTAGCACTTTATTCAGTGCTAAGTGGGGAAGAGATGGAGAGATATCTCCTGTGACAAAGACACACCCACCAGGACATGGGCCCCAGACCCCAAGCTGTTGACCCAAAGCAGTGCACCTGGGGTATCAGGCAAGGAAAACTCAGACCCAACAGCCCACAGTACAATCGAGGAATTCATGCCTGGGATCCACTGCCCAGGGTCACACTGCCTGGGGCCATAACCTGAACCCAGAGCCCAGGAAATCAAGGGTCAAGGAGGGCCAGGTGGAGGGCTGAGGGTTGGGGGGCCCTCAATGGTGACCATGCCCTGGCTGATGTGTGGGAGAGCCCGACAATCCTTCCTCAGCACCAGCAGGAGGAGAAGGGAGGGAACAGAGGGCCTGATGGAGCTAGGTGGGGATTAGGAAGTGGGGGCTGCTGTCTAGGAGTGCCACCCCCAGGATGGAGACACCCACAGTCAGCTTGGGGTGACTTGGGTGAGGTCCAGCTCTTCCTGGCACCCCGCACCTAGTGGGTACTGAACTGCCCAGGGAGCCGGGATGCACTGAACTGCCTGGATCTGCAAGTTCAGATCTGACTCACGCAGCTTACTAATCTGTCGGCAGGATTCCTGCGGCTTCTATTCCCACCAGCCTGTTCCCAACATCTCCCCACCCTGTGCTAGGAAGATGCCCCCGCCCCCCAGGCCTGGCCCAGAAGTCGCAGAAGAGCAGGCCATCTGGTGGCTCACCAGATGCGCCTGAGTCCCCATTGGAATGGGGGGGGACCCTCATGATCCTGCCCAGGACATGGCACAACAGGGTAGGGAGAAGAGAGCTAGGATCCACAGGAGGAGGAGGGCACCGCTACAGGACTGGTGCTGCTGCCTGTCCTAGGAAGACTTCTGGATCCCTGAAGAAGGGGAGGCCCACAAGGGAACTCCTTGGGCACTTAGCATTGGTCACTGGTTATGCAACCATGAAAGAGCGAGATCTGGCTCAGGTCTCAGCCCTAGTAATGGCAGTGTGGCCCTGGGTGTGCCTCAGTTTTCTCATCTGGAAGGTGGGGTTGGCTGTCCTGCTATGGAGAGGACAGGTGGGACTCTGAAGACGGCCTGGACCAGGGCTGGACCAGGTGCGGCAGGGGACCTGAGCCCCCTACTGTGGCCGGGCACCCCTCCCCTATACCTGCTCCTTTCCCAGTCCTGCCTCAGAAACCATCTCTCTTTGGAATGACCAACATAGGAAGGTTGCTCTCTGATCAACAAGCTTCTTCACTTTTCTGCCTCAGTTCCCCATGTACAAAATGGGAGGCTCTCCTCAGTCCCACACTTTATGACTAAATATGCCTCTTGCTGCTGCTCACAGTGTCCCGAAAGGCATTGTGGCCATGGGGAATCAAGGATCACAGCCCTGCTTCTGGTCCCTCTCCTGTCCTCTGAAGTCTGAGTGTCCTTATCAGCCTCAGTTGTCAAGAAAGGGCAATGTGGGGAGGACCGGGGCAGAAGCATTTCTCTACAAGCTCCTTTTGGGACTGGGGACCAGTTCCTTTTGGCTCATTCAGCAGGTGTTGGCTTTATCCTGATGTTGAACTCAGCACTGAGACCAATGGGTCAGGACTGACCAGGCCACCCCTACAGGGCTCCCAGGCAGGTGGGGGGACAAGACAGTGACTAAGCTAAGCTGTGAGACCTAGGGGATACTAGGGTGACAAGGAAAGGCCTGGGCACTGTCCTGCTTTGCCCCCACCTTTGATCTCAGCTTCCCCATCTGTTGCCTTAGTGTCCCCATCTATTGTCCAGGGTTTGGATGTGCCGTGGCTGACACACTGTCCTTCCCTGTCCTAGGACTCTCTGATGGCCCCATGGTATATGACTGTCAGACCCAAGAGGTGGCTTTCTCACTGAGGGCCAGGCTGTCCTCCACTGGCCTGTCCTGAGCCAGCTGCACACACTCACCCGCTCACTGACCGCATGGTACCTGCTGGCCAGCTCATCCCGCTCAGTGCCAGCCTGGGCCAGCAGGTCCTCCAGCCGGGTCAGCTCCTCCTGCAGGAGTTCGTTCTCTTCCTGTACTCGGGCTGTGACAGCTGGTGGATCCTGCACCCCTACTGGGATGGCATGCAGGGTTAGGCTGGGTAGCCAAACCAGGGCCTCACCCTGCCTCTGCCTTTTACCTGTCTCCACAGTAGGACCTGGGCCTGCTCCCATCTCTTGGGAGGTACCCCATCAAGATCCTGAAGGGTAGACCACTTCCAGACCCCACTGCCTCTCCTGTTAATGGTGGTGTCCTGATACCGCCCTGCCTTTTGTTAACATCTTTAACCCAAATACAGACCAGGCTCAAGCCGAGCCCCAAACCAAAGACAGCAGAGTGTGAGAAGGTGGCCTGGAACCTGGGTACTCACCCTGTCCCATGAAGCAGTGAGTCCTGCTGTTTCAGGGTAAAGAAATCCCATCCCCGAGGAGTAAGTTGCTTTTGTGAATACATGGGGGGGGGGGTTTCTGTCCTTACTACACACCCACACTGTGAGTTCCCCGGGTCCTTCAGAAGGCCGGACAGACCTCATTACAGAGGGGTCCCCGGGATGCATGTACCAAGAGGGTCAAGAGCAAACATTAGGGCCAGATGACCTGGCTGCTATGTGACCCTGGCACAGTGACTGAGCCCCAGGAGCCAGTCCCTCAGCTGCAAAGTGTGACAACTAGAGGCAGTGCACAGGAGCCTTTGGGGCTAGGTAAGGAATGAGGCAAAGCTCAGGGCAGTGTTAGGGTATAGGAAGGGGAGTCTGTTGTTCCTTGAGAATCAACTTTTGGGATTTTCACTCTAATAAAAAGACCAATATCTATGAAATCAAGTCTCAAGTGGTCACAAGGGTGTCACAAACACAAAGGCAGCCCTGACTCGGGTTGGTCCTCAAGGGTCATTGGTGAACGGCCTGTGGCTATCCACACAATACCTCCAGGAGAATCTGTGGGAGGGTGGGGTTCTGCTCTCCACCGTATGGAGAGACAGCAGTGTGGCTGGAGTGGCTGGAGTCCCAAGACAGCTCTGGGTTGAGGGTGGCTCCCTGAAGCTAAACTCCAACCTACAGTTCTGTGGCTCCCCTAGCCCCCCAGGAACCTCCATCCCCTTCACCTTGGGATGGCTCTTCGCCCAGGCTGCTGGCCACAATTTCTCGTATTCGGGCGGGCACAGGGGTAGGTGAGGCCCGCCGGCCTTTCCCATGCACTGTCAGTGCCCGGTCTTCTCTGCTGGCCGCGGGGCTTAGGATGGTGTCCTCCAGCTTCTGCAAAACAGCCCCAGAGACACCTGGGGTTGGCAGTTCCCAGACAGCCACTAGGTACCCCTATACAAGCCCACTGGATTTAGTGGGGGCTACCACAGGGCTCCCCAAGGCAGCAAAGTGCCTTGGAGAGAATGGGGTGAGGCTGGCAGGTCACCCAAGGCCTGTGCCTTGGTTTCCCCACCTGTAAAGTGGTGTTGTGCCCATCCTCAGGCATCAGAAAGAAGGGAGAACACCTAGCCTAGGACAGCATGGACCCTCACCTTTGGCTCTGCTCCATGACTCTGTGGGTGCTGCATCTTCTCAGAGATGCTGGGAGGCAGTTGCCTTTGCTTCTTCTCCACCAAAAAGAAACCCACCTGGAGCAGGTGGTCTCACAGCTTGCTTACACAGTGGGGCCTGGGGAGGGGCCTGACCCTGCCCAGTGGTCACAGAGCCTGGTGTGGTGGAGGGGCTGATAATAGGTAGAAGGAATGAGATTCATCTTTCCCTGCTGCAGCCACCTGCTGCCTTTTATGAAGACCCTGTGCATCAGGAGGGCGAGTGGGCCCTGAGGAGGGTGCAAGACTGCACACTCGTGGGTCTGAGGATGAGCACAGTCAGTCAAGTCCTCTCTTCTCACGCCTGATGGGTTCTGGGAGAAGTCTAGGGTGTCTCTCCCTTAGGTTCCCCATGGAGGGCTGTGTGGGAAGGGCCAGTGAGAACAGTCAGGAAGGTGAGGACAGCCTTCCTTCCTGGGTGGGTCCTGAGCAACTGAGCTGCCCAAGGGAGCAACTGAAACAGGCCTGGAAGTGGGCAGGAAATTCTGAGGTCCTGGGTACCTGAGACTGGCCTGGCTGAGGCCTGGCTGGGTCAGGAACCAGGGGGTGAGGTTAGACCAGCCAGATGACTGAGAGACCTCAAAGTGGCATTGTGCCTGGGCAGGACACAGCTATGGGAGGGCATGAGTGGTCATCTAGCACCTGGGCCCAGGGAAGAGGCCTTGTGCTGACCTTGGGGAGGACATTCAGAGCCCTGCAAACATGGGACGTGGAGGCTGCATGATCCAAACCAGAAGGCAGACAGGATCCCGCAAGAATAAGGGCAGTCCATAGCTGTCCCTGCCCTGTGGACTGAAGGACTTCTAAATTTAACACATTGATTAAATTATTAAGGGGTGGTGGGATGCTTGGCTGGGCTCTTCCACTCCCAACAGTTCTTCAGGGTTGCAAACTAGAGTCTCAGGCACTCCCTTCCCTGGCTCCTAGGTCACTGCTGGAGGATCCCTCTCCTGGTGACCTCTCAGAGCAGCATGCTCCCCCAGACCCTCCAGTCTTCCCCACCCCACCAGGGTCCAGGTGGGTGACCACTCGGCAGCCTCCTGCCTCCCATCTTCTCCCAGCCCTCCTGGAGATCCTCACTCTGAGCTCAGGCCTGAGCTGGTGGTGGGCAGCTTCCCAGGTACATCCTGCCCCCTCAACCTGCCCCATCTCTCTTGTCCCACTCCCCTTTCTGGCACCAGCCAGGCCCCCTTGGATCTTGTGCACCCTGCACATCCTGCTCACAGGCCTCCTCCTCCATCTGCACCCACCGCACATACTGATCCCCCTCTCCTGGGTTGGCGACAGACTGCTGAGAGTCACTCCAAGACCCAGGCTCTGCGAGGCACCTGGAGAGGCCCGTTCTGAGCCCCTGCCCCCCTGCGAAGGGCAGTCACTCAGCCAGTGCCTCCCCAGAGTGTGAGCCTGGGACCAGGGTTAGCCAAGCCTTCTCAGGCTGGGGACCTTGGCTCCAGGGGCTTGAACTTCAGTGCCCCGGGCCATCTTGGGGTGTGGGGGACTTTCACTCCATATTTCCCCAGATGACCTCCATTGAGTCTTGTCCTGGTTGGGCATGATCAGCCTTCCTTGGGATCACTTAGGACCGGTCCAAACCAGCAGGAGTTGGGACAAGAACCCACAGGAATAAGGACAGTGGGGGAGAGAGCAGGACGTTCCTGCTACACCTTCTGGGCCAAACTGGGATCCTGGTGCCAAGATCACCAACGGGAAAGACTGCTAGAAAGGCCCAGCCATTCTGCCCTGAACCTCTTATTCTGCATAGGGGGAAACTGAGGCCCAGCCAAATCCAAGAAGAACCCAGGCGCCTCCATCCCAGACAATCGAGCCTGGCTGAACCGGGCAGAGTCCCTCCCTCCCAGGCCGGGAAGGACTCTGCTCCGCTCTCTCCGCCTGCTCGGCAGCCCCCGCCCCTCCGCTCCCCCGGGCACCGGCGGCGCCACCGCTAACGGGAAGGCAGCGCGGCATCAACTTGACTCATTCCTGACATTTACAGAGGGTCACTTATTAGCCGAGACGTCCCGAGAGGCGCTGGGCGTAATGGGTTCCAGCTGTGGCCGGGTGCCTGCGATGGGCTTCGGCCCAGCTGGAGCCGGAGGGGGGCGCAGCGGGGGAGGGGGGGGGAGGGCGCGGCAGGGGGCGGGAGAGGGGACGCTGGGATGTGAGGGCAGCCCCACCCCCACGGAATCAACCAGAGAGGTGGAGAGGGAGGGACCAGCAGGGCAGGGGAGGGCACGGGAGGGGAGAGGAGGGGGCTCCACCAGGGCGTCCCGAACACCGCCTCCTTCCCGTCAGGCTCTAGTCTGGCCTGCCACCCGCTTCCTAGCCCTGGCCGACCGGACCGCGTCCCGGCTGCATCTCCTGCTTTCCCGAGGCCTCCCAAAGGGCTCTGCCCTGCCACCCGTGGCGATGCAGGTCTGGACTGGACGCCTCCTCCGCAGCTGGTTTCTGATCGTTATTCTCCGGGGAGACTTTTTTTTTTTTTTTTTGAGTTGGAGTCTCACTCTGTCACCCAGACTGGAGTACAGTGTCCGCTCCCGGCCACTGCAGCCTCGACCTGCTGGGCTCCGGCAATCCTTCCGCCTCAGCCTTCCAAGTAGCTGGAACTACAGGCGCTGCGCTACCACACCCGGCTAATTTTTTTGATGTATCGCAGAGATGAGGTCTCGCCAAGTTGCCCAGGCAGGTCTTGAACCCGCAGGCTCAGGCAATCCACCCACCTCAACCTCCCAAAGTGCTGGGATTACAGGTTGAGCCACTGAGCCCGACTGGGGAGACTTCTAAAAGGCCTCAGGGGAGGCTCAGCAGGTCGGAGGGGACGTCAAGGCTAAACATCACTTTCCCAAAAAACCGGAGACTCCCAGTTGAGTCTGGCCTTGTCACTTCCTCCTGTCTCCAGCACCCTTCTCAGCTAAACCTTTGGTAAAGACCCTTGGGAGGTTACAGCCTCTGTATGTAGCCATGGCTAACAGTTTGCCCATGGAGCCAGATCCTGGTCCTCAAGTGTTATGTGTGTGTGTGTGTGTGTGTGTTTGTGTGTGTGTGCAAGACCTAATGGGACCTGGCCCTCAAGTGTGTGTGAGTGTTTGTGTCTATGTGACTGTATGGAGGGTGACAGTCCCCACCTTGGGGGAACGTGGACTCCCTGCCTTCCCTGGATCAGAGTAAGAGACCCCTCTAAGAGAACTGGACTGAAGTCTTTGGTATGCTACTAAGGCTCTGTGACCCTGGGTGTGCCACTCCCACCAACTTCATTTCCCCATCTGTGAAAAGTGGGGGCGGGGGGTGAGGAATTGGTATAATTCAGGCACTCCTGGGTCCCAGAGCCCTGGAGCTATGGCTCTGTGGGAGTGGAGTTCAGGTGCTGCAGACGAGCTGGGTGTCACTGGAGCTGCAGTTGAACATGGTGGCAGGGAGACCTGGCACAGCCTGCCCCCATCCTGCCCCATGGAAATGGATGTTACTTGAATCTCACCTGGAGGCAAACAACCTCCTCACACCCTGATGGAGTCCCCTTTGAGCCCAGGGCCTAGACTGGCACTTCTGTCCTTGCCTGGTTTGGGGAGTGGTTCCAGGGCTGGGGCTGAGCTAGCTCCTCTCACAAGCCTCCCCCATTCTGGATCTTGGCCCAAGATCCTGGAAAGGTGGGCTAGGAGGTTGCCTTATCCTACTCCATGCTGCCAGGACTCCAGTTCTCGAGAAGGGGAGAGGGAGCCCACCCTGCCAGCACATACTCCATGAAAAAGTGCCTACCATGTAGATAGATTCCACCTGTAGGGACCATGGTATGTCCCGCTGAGCCCGGTGGCAGGCAGGGTAAGGCATCAAACTGCTGTTTAAAGTGGCTGCTAGAGAGGAGGCCGTGCCATGGGTGACCCCAAATTAACCAGGACACGACCTCAGACCCCACTCTCCTGTGGCAGAAGCAGGACTGGGCTGTCTTGGGTCCCTGCGGGGTGGACTCCCCCAGCTGCATACCTCTGGGGCGGCTGAGCGCCAAGAGTGCCACCATGTGGCTATGAGGGGCACTGCAGGGAGCGCCTGGCTCCTGCTCTTGGAGAACTGAGGCAGGGCCAGGGGGAGCGGAAGGCATCTGGGAAGCGGCATTCAATGCAAAACAGAAGATGGGTGACCACGTGAGTGAAGTGAGGTGGCACACACCAACATCTGCTACTGGATATTTCTTAACACCGTCCATTAGCAGTTTTCATATCCTTTATCTTGGCCTGAATTGGAGGCTTCCTCCTGATCGGTGAAGAAGGCGAGGCTTGTCATGTTTGGTACTTACTCAAGGTCACCCAGTCTCACGTGGCAGTACTAGAGCTGGGACCCCATCCCTGGGCCCCTACACATTTGGGGGGGTGGTTACTGAGGACCCTTCCCAGTGGCTGGGGGTCTGAACTTAGGTTGTCTGCAGCCCTCCCACCCCCCAAAAAAACCCTGGCCTGAGAAAACAGCAAAGGACCAAGGGCAGCTTTTGGACCAGGCACTGACATGCCACCCTCTTTCTTCCTCTGTCTCTGAGCCCAGTCTTGCTGTGGTGGTTGCTGTTTCCACGCTGGGCACTCCCACAGGCCCACCCAGCATCCTTAGGTGGTGGGTTTTGGCCTGGCCAGGAATAAGCACAGCTTGAAGAACACATCTAAGGACAGTCTCCAGCCAAATCTAGCCATCGGACGTCTGCTT